GTACCGTCCCGGTATTCGCTCGCGTCCGTCGATGAATTTCGAGTTTGTTGCCAATCACTTTTTCGCGCAATTATTTCACAACATTTCGACATGACGTACAAACCGAGCGAAGCGAGCGATAATAGCGAGGGGGTGGGTTTTTCAGGGGGACAGCTCGCGGACGCTGGAGGGTCTATCGGAGGCGATGGATTCACACAAGAGGCAGAGAGGGTTTTCGGGGGAGGGATGTAACACATGCACGTGGCACGGTCAATGCATCCGCTATCCGACAAATGCACGAAACCCCACCCCGTGTATTTCGAGCGCACCAAATTTCCCCGAACTACCCTCTCTCTTTAATCAACCTGCGCTCCTCTTCTACCAGGCGCATGCATGCAATCCGCCAATGTTAAATGCAACATTTGCCTCTCCACCTATCTACCTTCATCCCCTGATGAACCACCACCTCGTTTCCCTCCCCTGTTATACTACACCACCACCGACCCACCCCCTCCTTCTCTCTGTCTCGCTTGTTCACTGTACACGTTTATGTATTTATCGTACGTGCATGAACTTTATCGACTCGTGTCAATCACTCGTTAGTGGTAGAGAAGGGAGGTGCGTGGGGAGGCGGGGGTTGGAAAAAAAGGATGATAGCGATGCGAGAGATTGTATGGTTGATGTACAGTATAATGATTCGAGTTCCTGAGTCTTTGTTTTTTTTTTTTTTGTTAAAATGAAAATAATAGAAAATAAGATGTTCGTGGTTGGAGACGAACGTGAACATTACCCCTTTGTTACAAGATTCAATTTTAGGAAGAAAAAATATTTTATCAATGATAACAACAAGAGTGGATGTATTCTTCTTCTGTGTTAGAAATATATTTAAAGAAACGACTTATAGATTATTACTACATTTTCAATATAATGTAATGATAAAATGTAAAATAATAATTAAAATTTGTTTAACCCTTTGCACTCGAAAGGTTACACTCACCATTCAATTTAATGCAACAATTTAAAATAAATATTTTCTTATCGAATGTTTAATATTATGTAACATATAAACTACAATAATAGCAATTAATAGAAAAATAATACTTAAAAAAAATTCAATCAACTTTTCACTTAAAAAGTTTCATCGCAAATAGCAAAAGTATGAGTGCAAAATCATGAAAATCCTGAAATATTGATTGACCGTCCGCAAAACATATGAAACTTTCAATATTGAAACAGTAGAAGAGAAATAAATTTAAAAACTGAAAAAGTGCTCAAATAATTTGATAAAATGATTCCGTTTGAACGACTACGTTACTGGTTCGATTGCGACGATAAATCTAAACGTCCGGTAATAGTCCGTTCAATTTCGCGTGGACATCGCGTCGCCGGGATTACTGTGAATAAGGAAACGCGATAAGAGGCACGGTAATACATCATTGGGTCCTGCCGGTTGTCTAATATTATAGGCACCAATCGTAAGGGCTTAATATTGGGGTGAAGGTAAGTGGCGGACCAGCTGACGTCCTGCTCCACCCTGCACGCACGCTGCGACTCGTCTTGAGGGTGTGCGGATGAGATTTAGGGACCGACGACAGAAGTCTGCTGCCGACACTGATTTGTGGTGAGCTTTGTTTCAACACTCTAAATACCGCTGGAATAACATTCTTTCGATCCTTTCATTTTCTCTAGCTTTATTACATCGGGTTCACGCTTTTTCTGTTAACAAAAGACGTACAGATATTGAAACCCGCTAGAATTTTTTGAACGACTCCACAGCATATCTGAATTTGGATAAATGGTCCGAACTCGGAAAATCAAACTAATCAGACCAATTATATGAATCTGTAAAAATTGGGTCAATTATTTAAATGTGGAATTTGAATTTGGAAAATCGAACTACGTCTGAATTTGTAAGATCGAACGTTATTTCCATCAAAAAATGTATGACTATTATTGGAACTACGATAATTTTGTTCTACAAATTTTTTATACTTTTTCAAATCAAAAATAGTAAAATTGGGAAAATCAGAACGTGATTAAAGATTTATGATGACTTCCCAATCCGGCTGGAGGCACTGTATAAAACTTTGCGTACTGAATTAGATTGACTTATTAAGTCATTTGAAGTGAAAGTAATAACGATTTGGTACTCTATGCTCCATATTATTATGTGAAGTTCAATAACTTCTTAGGGAGTAAACTAATATATTTTCTCTAAAATATGTTGATATAGTGTATTGATTTATATCAACTATTTTTAATAGAATAATTCTTTTATTTCCATAAAAGTGGTTCGTTTGCAAAATTTGTTTCACAGTGGGATATATTTTGATTTCATGGAATAAACATTCTCTAATTGTGTATAGATTTTTATAATTTTATTTATAATATCTAGGATGATTCACTCAACATGCTTACTCCGAATATTTAAAATGTGTGTTGTAAGAAAAAGTCTTTTATCCAAAAGATTCATGTTTTAGAGAAACACTTGTAGTGCATGCACTTTTTTGTAGATTGCTGCATTTCAGAGACTTCAAGATCAAGAACCAAAGCAAAATTACTTGCTAAGTATTGATAACTATTGCTAACTATAACTAAGGCCTAATAAAGGTGTTTTTACTCAAAATTCAAGATATTTGCATATTTTGAAGTAAACAGTACATTGTGACAAGTTATTTAGAATATGCAAATTGAAACCACCGTATAGAAGACAGTTCAAAACATATCTTAGCATCTTTTGTATTAAATAATTCCAGAGTAAAAATTGTAAAAATTGAAAGCAGCAAAATATATCAACATCGATATTTGAAAAATATTTTCTCGTTTTTTCCAAAAAATGTGTTCAAAGCACATCGAAGCGTAAAACTAGACGTACACGAAACTAATTGCGAGTGCCAAAGAGTGTCTAAGTTAGTGCAAATTACCGGAATGTGGTCGCCTGTCATGATTGCCACCGAGTATAGCGTTGACGCTGAACTTGAGCTGCGGCTTTTCCTTCTCCTGGATGGTCCTGCATGCGGGTCCTAAGCACTGTTCATCCCCGCAGGAACAGGCGATCGTTCTCTCACCTATCCTGTCGACGACACGCTCAACCGCCACCTCTCTCTCCCCTTGAATCGTCATCTCGTCGGACGTGTGCATGACGTTTCTGCATCCAAGGTCGTACCGTCTGTCCGGGTGTAACGTCGTCACCCGTTCACCGGCCAGCATCCCGTCGTCCTTTTCCCTATCCCCTTGAAGCCCGCTGTCCATCTCGATGCTGGTCGGGTCCTCGTCGGCATTCGAATTGCACGAATCGACACCGGAGTTCGATCGATTCTCGATCCTCTCGTTACAAAGCCTCTCCATCGCGCACAATCGATCGACGATCACGTGGCCGTCGATCCTCTCGTTCTTCACGTCCGCGTAAGCGATCTGATTCCTCTCCATCTCATCCTTCTGTCGCAGCATTTGTATCCGATCGTTCCTCCCGGAACTTCTCTGATGATCCCTGCAGTCGATCATCGGATTCCCTCGATCGGAACCACGTGGACCAGCCGAGGATCCGCGTTGATCCAACTGTTCCTGATTCGCGCTCGAAGGCGACACCTTCTCCCGAGAGATCCTCAGGTTCGCCTCGCACTCTCTTTCGCGTTGTCTCGCGACCAAACTCGCTGCCCAGTTCAAGGTCAAGCTGGTCAGATCAGCGCCGGGCGATGCCTTACTCTGGAGCAGATTCTCCATCAAAAAGGGCGAGGTCATTGCACTTTGTTGCAGATTCTTCAGCATCGCCGCTGACGAAGGAAACATATCACGACTCCTTGGCCTACCAACCCGCACCCCAAACTCACACCCGGTTGGCTCTTTCCCGCTCACTCGATGCTTTTGCACTTCTCTTCAGCGACTTGACAGATTATCAACGATAATCGAGCGTGATCGTAAATCCTTTTTTACCGATCTTTCCATTTGTTGCACTTGATCAAATGTTACTTTACCGGACACTTACCGTTGACCTTGAATCGGAAACGAGATAGTTAAGGTTCCTAAAGGATAGTAAAGGATATTAGACACGATGCTCGAGAACGACGTTACATATTCCTCGCGGTCACAACGAACAAGACAACCGGAAAGTCAAACGAACCGCACTGCTGTTCCCGGCTCCATTAACACGTTTAACGGATAAAAATTGATTCTTCAATCGACGATCGCGCGGCATGGCATCGTTTCACTGATGGTCACACAAGGTCCGCACGTGGGCCATTTCACATGGCCGCGCAAGGGAACTGTCACGAAACGGTGCGGTGGCTCGAGAAGGAACGTGCGATTTCGGCAGCGGAATGTCAACTGACGTGCATGCGAGCACAGAGACAGACAGAAAGAGGGACGGAAAGAGAGAGAGAAGGGCTGCTCGGAGCGTGGCAGCGCAACGTGAGAGCGTGCAACCCTCGAATGAAAGCCGACAAAGGCATATAGCGTACCGTCTGTCCGGGTGTAACGTCGTCACCCGTTCACCGGCCAGCATCCCGTCGTCCTTTTCCCTATCCCCTTGAAGCCCGCTGTCCATCTCGATGCTGGTCGGGTCCTCGTCGGCATTCGAATTGCACGAATCGACACCGGAGTTCGATCGATTCTCGATCCTCTCGTTACAAAGCCTCTCCATCGCGCACAATCGATCGACGATCACGTGGCCGTCGATCCTCTCGTTCTTCACGTCCGCGTAAGCGATCTGATTCCTCTCCATCTCATCCTTCTGTCGCAGCATTTGTATCCGATCGTTCCTCCCGGAACTTCTCTGATGATCCCTGCAGTCGATCATCGGATTCCCTCGATCGGAACCACGTGGACCAGCCGAGGATCCGCGTTGATCCAACTGTTCCTGATTCGCGCTCGAAGGCGACACCTTCTCCCGAGAGATCCTCAGGTTCGCCTCGCACTCTCTTTCGCGTTGTCTCGCGACCAAACTCGCTGCCCAGTTCAAGGTCAAGCTGGTCAGATCAGCGCCGGGCGATGCCTTACTCTGGAGCAGATTCTCCATCAAAAAGGGCGAGGTCATTGCACTTTGTTGCAGATTCTTCAGCATCGCCGCTGACGAAGGAAACATATCACGACTCCTTGGCCTACCAACCCGCACCCCAAACTCACACCCGGTTGGCTCTTTCCCGCTCACTCGATGCTTTTGCACTTCTCTTCAGCGACTTGACAGATTATCAACGATAATCGAGCGTGATCGTAAATCCTTTTTTACCGATCTTTCCATTTGTTGCACTTGATCAAATGTTACTTTACCGGACACTTACCGTTGACCTTGAATCGGAAACGAGATAGTTAAGGTTCCTAAAGGATAGTAAAGGATATTAGACACGATGCTCGAGAACGACGTTACATATTCCTCGCGGTCACAACGAACAAGACAACCGGAAAGTCAAACGAACCGCACTGCTGTTCCCGGCTCCATTAACACGTTTAACGGATAAAAATTGATTCTTCAATCGACGATCGCGCGGCATGGCATCGTTTCACTGATGGTCACACAAGGTCCGCACGTGGGCCATTTCACATGGCCGCGCAAGGGAACTGTCACGAAACGGTGCGGTGGCTCGAGAAGGAACGTGCGATTTCGGCAGCGGAATGTCAACTGACGTGCATGCGAGCACAGAGACAGACAGAAAGAGGGACGGAAAGAGAGAGAGAAGGGCTGCTCGGAGCGTGGCAGCGCAACGTGAGAGCGTGCAACCCTCGAATGAAAGCCGACAAAGGCATATAGCTACCACTCTTCCGCCCCTCTCGCCCCTGGCCGTTCGCTGGCTCCTCGAAACAACCCCCTTCAACGTATAGGCAGTGGCTTATATGTACATAGAAGGGGAACGGAGTGTGTTGCCACCCCTCTGAAACCTGGTGTGCCCCATCCCTCTTTCCCTCTTAGGTGAGATAATACAGACTATAAGCCGAGCAATTCGGGGTTTGGCTCGCTCGGTAATGCCGTAATAAAATCATACTCCCATCAAACGGCGCTGCGCGCACCCCCTCCCCCCGTTTAAAGGTAACGGAAGGGACGGAGCGAAGGAGCAAAGAGCGGGGTGGGAAGCACGAACGTAGCAGGGGTGGCTCGCCAAGTGGCAAGGGAGGAAAAAAGCTAGGAGACTCGAATTCCTTTGCTCCTAACGATTGGATTTTATTTGACGAAGCCGACCAACGGTCCGTCCAATCGTCTGCTTCGAGGGTAGTCCATGACCACGCCTACTCACCCCTCTGAATCGCGTGTTTTCTCTCTCTCACTCTTTCTTTCTTTCATCCCCCCGTTTCTCTCTCCCTCTCGATCACGCTCCGCGTATCCTTCTTCTTCTTCTTCTCCGGCCTTCGTTGTCTTGCTACGTCCTTTTCGCTCTTATATTCGTTCCATGAGGCCGCCAGTAGGGGTTGCCGAAGCGGTACTCTCTACACCCTTATCAACATTATTATCTCTCACTAACATCAACACCCGGCATACGTGTACAGTTTTATCGGTGTGGTTAGGTACCGTTGCACGTCTGTTTTCCTATGATTCTATATACGTGTTTAGGTGTGCGTGGGGGCGTACGTGTTGTACCAGATCGTTTCGCGCAATGTGATTTTCTTATAGGTATAATTATACCGGCGTCGCTCGCCCGGCCACTTTTCTCCTGCTTAAAACGACGTTATAACGGTTATAACGATTGCGGCATCGGGGATGATAATAACGGTTATAATAATAATATTAATAATAACCGGGAGATTAACGAAACTACTTGGCGACGATCCACCATCAGATTTCGAAGTTACTGAAGGTGACTTCATTGATTCTACAGTGTTATATATGAACTTCACTGGGTTACAACGGTGATGGGCAGATTGAGAGCCCGTTTGAAAGGGCACTGGGGTGTTCTGATACGGTGTTCGATATTCATGGAAATTTTAACATCTTTAATTTGAGAGTTTAAAGATTTAGAGATTTACAAATTTATAATTTTTTAAACTTGCCAATTTTTAAACTTTTGAATTTACTCTTGTCTCTTTCATTTGTAATATTCATAATAATATTTTATATTTTTGTATTATATTCAATATTATCACGGGTTTCAAAGTCACCAATGATATTTTTACATATGAGTGTATATTTTTTTTTCATAGTATTATCATTCGAAATACATCTAAAAATTAAACTAACTCAGTCTTACTGCAACAAAACTTATATGTGAAAATACATTAGTGTTCCATGGCCTCAAAAACTTCAAGAAGATAATTTTAGCACAAAGACAATCTTTGTACTATTTTGATACCATCGAAACAATAATATCATAACTGTTAAAGATATGGTTACGTATAAATGCAACCCTTCTCCGACATACGTATCGCCAAAGTCTGTCGCATAATATCGATCACAGTTGTCAAATCGGTAAATTTAATCTCGACGCGGTTAATTAAATTATCGAGTATCATAATGCTGTGAGTCTTGGCATGTACATCGGTTAGCACGTATCCCAGCGTCGACATAATATGAAACGATCGTGTCGAAGACAGGATCCTCGAAGCCAGCCCTTCCCCATCGGGTCATCGAAACAGGCGCAAATAACAATATCGGCGAAGAAGTAAACGACGGAGAAAGTAGGATAGTAGAAGAGTGGAGAATATATTGGAAGCTTAAGTAGAATCGTCTAGCAGCGAAGGGTCGCGAAAACAGGAGGGGTGGTCCATCGACTCTGATTCTCGGTGCTTTTTCTTACACGATTTTCCAGCCTCTATAGCGAGGTCCACCAGGAGGGTTGCCTGTGCCACGTGATGGTGGAGGGTGGTGCAACCAACGAGAGCGTACCACGAGCCACCCTTTCCTCTCGATTCGACCCCTCGCACCCCCTCGCAGAGGGTGGGATGCCACGGCCACGCCTACCCTTCGGAATCACCTCTACCTCGTCGACGTCACGACTTATCACCCTCTCAGCATGGATGGTGGTGGTGCCTCGGTAGTGTCGAGGGTGGCTGGAACGGGGGGTTGGTACGGGGGTGAGACGACGGGCCGACAGTGGCGATGCTCCGAAGAAGAGGAACCAAAGGCAAAAGCGGAGAAGGAAAAAAATAATGAAATGAACATCGCCGCTTTCGTGGATGGGGAATCGTGGAATTATTATAAGAGTTCCGGGGTTGAGGTTGCCACGGCTTATATAAATTGGGGGTGGATTCGCCGCGGAGCGCCTTCCCGTAGTATTAGTAGTAGTCTCACGGAAAAGAGGACCCAACAGGAAAAAAGATTCGTTTTGTACCAGCCGGAGATAATTATTCATTCATCCAACCAGCCCGGAATGGGATATCAAAGTTTCAAAATGGGCGAATAATGTGGTTTTTGAGCGTAAAGTGCTCCACCTTTTTCTTCTTGCTCGCTGGAATTCTTTAATCCACTGTGCGTCTGCACGAATTTTAAATTCCTACAGTTTTTTAACTGAAACGCATGCCGGTTCGTTTAGCAATTGCTAAATACATACACTTATTTAGTTTCATATTGAAAAAGTTATAGTACCTCTTTGTAAAGCGTAAATTTTTTTTAGCCCACTTTTTATTAAATTTCCAGTTTTTGATACTGTTAGAAAGTTTAACAATTTACATTGACGATAACAATTCTTCAAGCAACAAAATACGCTACACTGAATGTGACCAGTTACATTAAGAATAAAATGTGAGAGTTAAAAAGATTGTAAAAAGCGTTTCTAGGAACGATAATACTAATCATCTCGCATCTTAGGTTAACTGTCGCTTAATTAGTAACGCAATTAACGTCTTAACGGGAAGAGCAGTTAAGTGTCAACGATACGAAAAGTATGAACCTTTTACTCTAGCAGAATCTTCGCGATATTACTCTCGATTTGCATCTTGGAACTTTCCTGTCGTCGTGCCCGAAACTTCTTTACGCTCCACGCCGGGCTAATGCTAATAAGGGCAACCGTCTCTTACAAATTGATATTTAAGCGGCAAGTTCTACAACCGATGAGTTGTACGACCGAGGATCAAATTATTCTCCGTCAACATGTAAAATACTGACGATAATTCGGCGATTCGGGCGGCGTGCCGGTAGAAACTTCAAT